ACACAGACAACCCCTCGTCAATATGCGTTTTTCGCATTGCATTGCTGCAAAAAACGCATAAAAATTGAAATCGCATTCAGGACTGATCCAGAAAACAAGAAACAACGATGTAAGCTAGAAATTAACAGCGATTAAGGGGCTTACGAGTGCAAAAATTTCCAATGAACATGAAAAATCGTGTGGAAGCGAACGAAATTGTATGTAATGTGGGAATTCCAATCGTCCGGTGCAAATGCCTTCATCGCTTGTTGTTAGTGTTGTATGATGAACTGTTTCCTCGTAACGTATTAATACAATGAAATAAAAAAGTAACTGATCTGAAAATCAAAATAAATTATTTACAAACACGAAAATTCGAAATGCTTTAGGCCTACAACCTTTCATGAATAACACGTTTTAACTGCAAATACCTTTCCTCCCTGTACACCATCCCTTGGCAGATTTGTGGTTTCTTTTTGGTCGGCTTTTCATGGGTGTTTTGTGACAATATTAGCAAAAATTGGTTTCAGTTTTCCTTTCAAGCAGTTCTTTGATGAGAAAATCAGCTACCAGCCATATCTGAGAATCAAAAGCGTAAGAAGTAAAATTCTAAATACATCTTCTCCCAGGCAGTATACAAATTTGTGGCTTCTTGGACGGCTTTTCACGGATTTTCTGCTGCAATACCAACACGAAAGTGGTTACAGTTTTCCTCCCAAGCAGTTTTTTGATTAGAAAATCAGGCACCGTATTCATCGCGAGAATCAAAAGCGTAAGAAGTAAACTTTTAAATATATCTCTTTACCATCACGATAATTAATATGTCCATTGACGAAATCGCGCATCAACCGTACAGATATATCCGAAAATGTCAAATTGCCCTTTGGGCCATCCAACAGTGGACGTTCCACTCCGCCAGTTGCATGATTGTGAATCAAACGATCAAGCACATAAATTAGAGCGCGTCGTCGTTCTGTTGCAATTAGAAGTGCACGCTGTGCGTCAACCTGCAGGAGAAACGCGAATTCAAGAAGTCGCTAGTTTACCATATTGAAAATTCAGGAAAAGATCATGTTTGGTGCAGCAAAAAATTGTAAAAATAACTAAATAGCTGCGATTTATTTAACATAAAGTTATAATAAGAAGGAATGAAATAAACAGAAAAAAGTAAAAAATGAAAATTAGAAAATTTGTGAGATTATTAATAATCGTTATAACCTGTTTTTTTAACTACTTCGCAAAAAAAGAGTGCCAAAAAGTAAAAAAAACAAAGGAGATGTTGTGCTGATACCCACGCAATTTTAAGAGGACACTGGGAAGGCCACTGATACGATGGAAAAATCTATTCATACGCCTAGACAGAGTTACATGGATTCAATGAACTTAGAAGCCGCGGCCCGATGTTCAGAGGTGAATTTTGCGGATTCTGGAAGTATTATGGCTTTGCACTCTAAAAAGCCCTGTATCAAGTTAGGCACGTTAATGTGCTCTGGCCTGACATGGTCTTAACGCAACGCATCTTTCGCTGAATGTTTTTCTGTATAAAAACTCCTATAAACACCTCACTAAGAACCGTTTTGCATGGGAAATAAAATGCTACGGTTTTTATGCGTTTTGTGCTGTGCAACAGCAGTACAAAACGCATATTGTTACGGGGTTGTCTGTGT